GATTCTTTTCTGACAATCACGATCAGGTTTTAAGGAGACTCTTTATCTTTTATTTCGGTTTTATTGTAATAAAAACGACAAAAATAATGTGGCAATTATGGCGTGGAGTAATGAAAATACTTACAAGTTCGTTGAGGAACATTTTATCTTGTCGAAAAAATGAAGTGAAAACAGGCCATGTAAAAGGACCGACTGAAGCGAAGGAAGAAAGACAACAAAGAAGAATGGAAAAAGAAGTTCAGAATAAAATAAGAAGTTCATGAAGAAAGGAAGAAGAAATGAAATAAGATGTATCGAGGAAAGGGAAAGATTGTAAGGCAATATGAAAGAGAGAGAGAGAGAGAGAGAGAGATAAAAAGAATGTAGAAAAGAAAGATGAAATTGGTAATGTCTGGTGTCGCTATGTCGGACTGGTTTATTCTAGGAAAGATGGATGGTGTTGTAGGGCCATAAAACTTTGCTTTTATGGCTTTTACGGATCTGTCAGTGACGGGGCCAAGTTAAATGAGATGAGGCTTGGACTATTTACAAAACGTTACGAAGACTGAGAAGAGGAAAAAAATGACACAGCAGCGTTAGATTTGCACGGGACAACGGCAACTTATGATATTTACTGAGCTTTGATTAGTCTGACAAAAGGCCATATCAGTGGAAAAAGCGTGACAATTGAACCCACTGAAATAGCAAAATTCTACGAGACGAGCTTCAATATGTGTGTATATCTTAGCGTGGATTTTTACTTACCGCTGCTTACTCTGGTAAAATGAATTGAACACTACAAAGAAAACGGTCAACAAGACTAGTGTTGTTTCGTCTGGCCAGGATATCAGAGCAACCTTGAAAATCAATCTGCCTATAGGAGCAATGCTTTGCTAGACTAGGTTCTAAGTAGATTCATATTTATAAACTTGAGTAACTTTTATCACTGAGTCAGGATTAAACATGCTACATAGTTTTTATGGCCCGCAATACATTTTCCATAAACTTTGCCACGCATAAATATTTTTATATATGTGTAGGCGTTTACAAAGGATACACACACACACACACACACATATATATATATATATATATATATATATATATATATATATATATATATATATATATATATATATATATATAAGTACATCCACAGATTCACGACATCTAAACACTAAAAATAATTTTTAAAACAAAAATCTTTCTTCAAACTTTTATTTTAGGTATAATTTCAAGCTGATTGATTAAATTTAATATTTCGAATAGCAATACACTTTGCTTTATTTCAAAACAAATTTTAATTGACTGAGAGTTATTTTCGTTTTGAAATTACTAAATCTGCTCATTTTTAGCGCTATTTTTAACCATCTTTTGTCACAATGTAATTGCCTTTATTAAGAAACGTTTCAAAAATAAAATATATTTTTCTGAACCTTGTTTTCAGGAATATTAGCTGACGTAAAGTTTAATTTATCTGAGATTGATGAGGGAGGATTATTTTTGTTGTACATAGACTATATAAATCATTTGAAGATTAACGCCATAAATCTTTCGTTTTATTTTTGGGTTGTGAAGATATTTCTTTCTTAATATACCATACACCAGGGCTTGAACCAGCACTGCGATTACTACGGCATTCGATTTTCCACATTGAGCAGCATTGACCAGCGCAGAGTTAGCCCTGTGGTTAAAAACATTGTCCTAAGACAATGAGGACCAGGCCACTAAACGTGATAAACTGTCACGGGTTGTAGGTGGCGGCCAAAGATGTTATATACTAAGATTTTACATTTATGATTAATAAAAATAATAGTTTCTACTTAATAGATATGGCACATAACGCGGGATAACAGAAATTTAAAAGGTCTAAAATTTAAAAAATTATTCTAATGAAAACGAAAATAATTCTTGTAAAAATTCATTATTCATGTCAATAATCTCTCTATATAAAACAGATGATGTCAGTATCTGTCTATATTTATGAGATGAGGTATTATGTGCACTATTTACATTGTTCGGACTATTGTCCTCATCTTTGTTGCCATATTTATCACAAAGGTTTGGCCGTTGTACGCTACAGTCTTCTTCAAGTGGTTGGAATGTCGAACTGAACGCTTTATTTCGCTCACTGGGGTAGACCGTTCTAGTTCCACGTGCTATGTCTAATCGATGTCAATTATCAGTTATCTCCTGTTAATTCCCCCTCTTCAAGTTCTCCACTGCCTTAACCATGTATTGGTCCTCAAGGACACACGTCACAGTGGATAAAGGCCTTAGTTAGATCCAGTGACAGGACACAAAGAGTGTGAGTTCAATACCTGGTTAAGACGGTGGAAAACTGGGACATGGGAATTAACAGGAGATAACTGACATCCATTAGACATGGCACGTGCAACTAGAACAGTCTACCCCAGCGAGCGAAATAAAGGATTCAGTTCGACATTCCAACCACCTGAAGAAGGCCGGGGCGTATGTATAACTACCGAAACGTTGAAATAAATATGGCAACAATGATAAGGAAAATAGTCCAAATGATGGAAATAGTGTAGATGATGTCTGTCTGTGTGATACCTTTTCACTCGAGATACATCCAACCAATTTTGAATAAACTTGTACAATGAAAGAGATTAGGTCTTAGCGTAAAAAATCGATGTTTTTCTTTTAAATCCATAATCAAAAATCGATAAATTCTTTTCCACCGATTCCGTTCAAAATCAGTATGTAGGTTACATACATCATGATGAGTTCAACGATACCGCATTTTTATTTCTACGCCACTGCGTTTAAAGAAAAACCGCGAAAAACAAAAATCGATTTCAACACAAATTGATTTCAACACAAATTTTAAACTAGAACCTCCTTCAATTTTCAAGCAATCTAATTTAAACTTCACTCAGCAATAAGTTGATTGTTTAACAGTCATTTAGCTTGATAACTGAGTCTACCCATTTAGTGAAAATCCGCGTAAATAGGAAATAAAATGATGAATTTTACTGGTTTCTTTCTTATTTTTGTTGATCTTTCAACCAATTTTCATTAAACTTAACAATTGTTTTATAAATGTATCCTTTTTTGCATCCCTGGTATCACGCTAACAAATTGAATTTCAAAAACTTCAAAATAATTGTGGTCTGAAGTGGGTCTTTATGTTGCCTGGTTTACACCTTCATGTCCTCGGCTAACTTGGATTGAATACAGACTACTTCTGTTATATCAGTAACTGCATTAATTCAAAATGTTTTTAATGAAAGTACTTTAAAGTAATTGAAGAAGATAGACCCTGTTACATCTAAACATGCTGTTTTTTTTTCTTATTATTTATAAAGCACTTCAGAACTTTTCTTATTAAATAATGTTTTAGTTTTATGGCATTTTTATTTTATGATTCGTATCAGATTTTCAGTAATTGGGCGTTCTGTTTTACAAATACGAAATTGATGATTTAAATTCTCCAGGGAGTACTAATTTTAAATTATATAAACGTTAAGCGAGACAAAATTTAATTTCTCGAAATTTCATAGAATTAAAAAAGTGGTGGAGGATAACAGATGCAAAAAATACTTTGGCTAAGATTTCCTAAAAAAATATATTCTGAAATAATTTCATTCATTTGTGAATAAGTCCTGAAAGTTTCATTAAAATCCGTCAATTATTTGATTTTTGCAAGAATTTCTGAATTAATTTTTTTACCGCAAAAAAGACGCTAAAATTTCCTCTGACGCTGATGAAAAAACAAACAAAAAAAAAACAAAAAAAAAAAAAAAAAAACAAGATTTTTAACCAAAATATTTAACGTTCTAAAAAGGCTAAAAATCATTATGGCATGCTAATTTCTTTAGTGAATCAATGAGGGTGCCTACACATATACGAGGAAACGCATGTGTATGTAGATTTTGATTGTATTTGAACTTGCGTAATATTTCTTGTGACTATCTATAAACTTGCGTATGAATTCAAATATATTTTCGCGAATTACAATTATACAGTGACGAAACGAACATATAGAAACACGTCATTAATAACGTGTTGATCGTTCATTAGGCAACAAACTTGTCCTTTTTTTTATCAAGTACAAACTCCCTAAAATCTCGAGGTTTCTTCTGTGTGCTGATGTCAACATCTTAGTAACATATTCTTTATTGATTCGACAACAGTAAACCTCTTAAGAAAATATAAATATTTAAAGAAAATAATTGTTTTCATGATGTTAACTATCTTAACGATTACTTGTAAAATATTAAAACTTTAATGTTTTCGTGGTTGATGGGGGTCAAAGCAGAAACTGAGTCACACATTTTTTGTTTCTAATTTGAGAGCCTAACCTTTAGCCTACGTCCAGGTGACATATGTTTGTGTGAGTTTGGTTTTATAAAGATATATCTAAAGATTGTGGCCTAATTTGCAGACAAAATCAAGCGAATAAATGAAGGGCGAAAGTCTATATGTTATCCTCAATGTGGGACGAAAAGGTAGATTAATTCATGTTTTAACTTCATTAATCATGGACGAATACAGACAATCTCAGAATAGAGACGCGTATGCGCACTCGGTAACATATAACATCAGTTATGTACAAAGGAAAGCGGTAGAAAAATAGATGGAGAAAGAATGGAAGAGAAAAAGAAGAACAGAGAAAAGGGAAGAACAAGAAATAGAAAGGAAGTAAGTAACAGAGGAGAATCGAGAAGATGGAAATAATTAGTAGAAATGAAATGGAAAGAAGATCATTGATTGACCGATAAATTCGATTTCTACGACATATCAGCGTTTTGCAGGTTATTTAATGCCAGAAATATTTTTAGATGTTAAAAATTATTTTCATGTTTTCTTTTCTGAGATAATAATGACTAGGTGATAAAAATCTTAATAATTAAACCATAGCTGAAGAGAGAAGAGGTGGATTCCTGTCTTTTCTAATGGCATTTGTGCGTAAGTGAATATAACGAACCCAACTGCAATTCGAACTCGGCTCTCCGATAGGCAATTCTGGTCTATTATCCATTACACCGCCGGCAAGTTTACAGCACATGGCATTCGCAAGTGGTCAACCATGAAGGTACGGAACTGGCTTGACGTTGCTTAACTTCAGTGGTCGTAGGGGAAGCGGTGTTTCAACATGTTGTGGCAACAAGCAGAAGATAATGGAAGGAAAAGAACATGCAAATTCTTATCGAATAGTTGAAGAAAAAAGATAGGAAAAAGTACAAAAGGGAGGAAAGAAACGAAATAAGGAAAGGAAAAAGAAAACATCTTCAAAAAGAGCGGGGAGTGAAAGAAGAAAACCAGATACTGTTTCTTTCGATATCATGAAAAAAAATAAAGCTCACACAATGCACATTATCTCTCCTTGGATCTCTTCTTTACACCAAGGCTGGCGTTTGGCGTCAAATATTACACGATTCGACGCACGTCTTGAAATTTACTGCTATTGAGTTTTACAAGCGGAAGTTATAATTTCGAGTTGGCCTTGGTTTAACCCAATGCCATACAAGTTGTTCTTAATAAGCGTGTCTCTTTTCGTGAGATTTTTTTTATTTACCACGAAGCGTGATTAGTCTACTCAAAGTAAACCAATAAAAAGACAGATACTGAAGAGGTTTTTTTTTCGCCGCATGCAATCTGACTCAGATCGCGGAAAAACCCACCCGTGTTCCCGATTCAACAACACATCCTTGGACTTTTTCTCACATTATGCCCTGAAAAATGCTTCGCTGAAATGTTACCCGACCTCTGTGTACTTCAGACTATTCGGTATTCAGTGTCAAAATCGAAGTCAAATCAAGGGTATCCCCTGATGTGACGTTCCATAGAACGATTTTCCAATACACGAAAGCCGACTGGGACAACTTCAGAACACATGGCGCAAGACCCTCTTTCGCCATTCTTCAAACATGTTGCCTCTAAAAGAGTTGCACTCATCTGGAAATGAATCCATTCAGGAATGGAGAGTTTCATACCCCAGAAAAAACTCTAGCAAAAATGATACGTCAACTGCACTTCCCACTGAATCTGCTGCAGCCATAACTCACTGTAACATTTACTACCATATCTGTTCCAAGGAAAAGTCTATTAGCACACTTTCTGTATTCAGTACCGTCCCCAATCATTCCAAGAGAGTCCTAAAAGATTCAGAGTGTAGCTACGCATTAACAGTCTAGGCGAAGGTTGAAAATAAACAATTTGGATACTGGGTGTCCTGGAAAATCTCCAACCAAATTCTCAATAGACGCAAAGCGTCAGTGCCTAGTATCATAAAGAGTCCTGAAGTCAAGCTCTTAATCCTGATGCTTGCATCTAACTCCATGTTAGATGATAAAGGCCACCTACTTCCCGAATACCCTGTCTCACGCAGCACAATCTCAGAAATATTTTTAGCAAAATTCTTGACCGTAAGATACCGGTTCAAACAGAATCTCTGTGGTTGTCCTTCAGAATATTAGCCACTGCGTGAAGGAAAAATCCTTCCGAAATCTGTGGAAGGTGTTACATGTATGTCATGTTTTTAATAATGCAGGTGATCGCTCAAATCATTCTCAGTATAAACCGACCAACCTTCTCATTGTCATTAACAAAAGTTTTGAAGCTATAACCAACAAGAAGTTTGTTGGTTACTTGAATAGGGACAACATCTTGAGCAACAAGCTGTAGTAATTTCGATCGACTCGGTCCAATGCTGATATCCTGTTATTACTTACATAATCAGTGAGGTACTAGAAATAAAAACTTCTCAAGGACGATATTTCAAAGGCTTTTAACAAGGCGTGTCACAGAGGGTTGCAGCCGCACAAGCACTCTACCTATGGTATCATTGGAAGGGTATTCTCAATTATGAAATCCCTACTAGCGGTTAATTTCCCAAAGGTAATTGTTAAAGGCCAGTCTTCTGAGGCACAGTTACTACAATCATAATCTGTTCATCTAGGATTAACCATTATCTTCCTCAAATAGCTCCATAAACTGTGCATCTCACTCTGTAAAACCCTACGTCGACTGACTCTTGGGCCTTGACCAGGGTCAACATCATTTTACAAATAAATTGAAAGAACAATCGACTTAATTTATATACAATATAATATCCGATATACTTAATTGATTACATAATACACAATACAAATGCAACGCGTAAGAAATAAAGTAAATGTTTCCAAGGGATTCAGAGTGAGGCTTTGTAACTGTTATAATAAAAGAACAAGAAAGTAATTGGTGATGAATGGTAGAAGAAATTTCTTAAAAAAATGGAGGAGATGAGTAAAAGGAGAAAAAGGTAAGAGACGTAAACAACTGGACAAGAAGGAAGAGACAAGGAAGAGAAACTATTTAATAAATGAAAGCGATTGTCAAAAGGGAAGCGATTAATACAAAAGCGGAAGTTATAAAAAAAAATTAAAGGATTAGAAAACAAATAAGACTCTGTTATAAGAAAAAAGATCTTTGATTCTCCGACAGTTTCGAAAGTGGGAGAAGAATAAAACCGGAACTATAACCCATAAGCGGCAACTCCTCGTTTCGCTAATTCATAAGAGTGGCCTTATGTTTGCCGTACAACCAGGTACATTTTAACTATTACTCCAGTTAAAAAAAAAAAAAATCTGTATGTTATTTTGTATCTGTGCGTTTGCAAAAGAGATAATGTTTCCGTAGTCGGACATAGAAGTTGTATAAGCTCCTAACTTTGTAACAAGAGAAACGCGTTCATACAGCAGCTGTCCTTTATATAACGAGATTAAAGACGAGATGTAAATGCTGATGCCTTAAAAAAAATGAACTGTTTCAAGAATTATTTATCAACTTTCAACATTTTTTTCCCCAGAATGCATTTCAGTTACAGTTAAAGAGTTAAGATTATGGTGATTTTCAAAGTGTAGTGTAGATGTGGCACAAGACCAAATGCATGGGCATCAAATGAGAATCAAACTCACTATTTAGTTATGACAGATCAAGCGAGACAAGCTTGCTAACCATTACAGCATGTGGAGTGCCTAAATATTTCATGATTATGATTTTGATAGTTGTGACAAGCGCCGGTGTATCTTGATAGTTTTCGACAGTTACCTCCTTGAAAATGAATTTATCATTTATTTTGTATATGTAGGTTACAAACCTACAGTTGACAATAAAATTCTAACTTGAAAATCGTGTATCGCTTGCACTAAGAGAAATACGGTCAAAATTACGCCCTGATATCTCTGCAGAAGATAAACGGATCCAGTTATTTTCTAGCAACCACTAAAAGCAAAAACAATCTTGTCATATATCACATTCATACATTTGTGAAATAATTTCAAGAATTAGAAAAAATTTTGCGTAACCAAAAAAAAAAAAAAAATTGAATCGACTGTTCAGTATCTAGGAATTATTTTTTCAGAAAAATCTGAGTATCATTAAATATTATCGTAATATAAACAGATACAAAAAATTCTGAATAATGTAAGCGTTATACAATATTAAAGAAATACATGAGACAACATACAGATAGATGGGTTAGCATGCAAAAACATTCCTGCGCATATTCAAATAAGGTTTGTCAATTAATTAAAAGTCATAGGTGAGCATATTAGAAATAATTTCGTCTATGCTGTTAAATTACTGCAAAATTTGCTTTGCGGCAAAATCTTTTATGCGAATAAATTCAATGCATTCGTATTCAAATACCAAATTATCTATTTTGACTTTCTAAGATTTTCTGCGATTTTACACTTTCAAAACCAAAATAACGATTCTGGTTATTATTCAATAAATTCTTGGAGAAACATATCGATTTAGATGCACTTACCAAAAAAAAAAAAAGAATTTTGTATGGAACCAAAGAATCAAAGTTTGAAGTTAATAGGTCTGATGAATACAGCTGAATTAGAAGACTTTTACATCTCGACATGAAGGTCGCCTGCTACATTGCACTTGCAAAAACACTGGTCCTATTTTCGTATTAAAAACCTTTTTTTTTTCTTTTAATATATCATTTAAAACATGTAATTGATCATTGGCTCTTTACATAGTCACAATTTGTTTTGTTTGTAACAATTCACTATCAAGAATTGTATGAATTGGAGAAAATTGATCTTAAATTTGCCGCTTATTAAATTCAGTTTAGGGTGACATCTGAGAATTCTACATTGGATATCGCCTCGAGATTATCTTCATCTTGGAATCTCTAACATATTTTCTATCTTTAGTGAATATACTGCTTTTGTTTTTTTGTTTTTTTTTGGTAAACATGTCAAAGTCTTGTGTTGTGCAAAAAAAAAAAAAATGAAATAGAAAAAGAAATAGTTATCAGATATACGTTTCCTTATTTATGTTGAACTCCTAAAATTTCCATAATACTGGAAAAAGAGAACGAGACTTTACGTATTGTTGTAAATGAAATAATGACATTTCTAAGATTTCCGAAATATTATATATGCACGGTACTTAGTGAAAAGTGCTGAATATCTGTGACAGAGTTAACATATTCAGTTGTATACGTATTAGTTTGTAACAATGGGTATCACGCTATTTCGATTATCAGAAAAACTTTTTTTTATTTTTTTTATTTTTTGTAAAAAATAAACCGGTTTCTCTGATAATGGCAAAAGCGTGAAACCCAGTGGTACAAACTAATGTTCACACAACTGAATTTTAATTTTATATATATATATATATATATATATATATATATATATATATATAGAGAGAGAGAGAGAGAGAGAGAGAGAGAGAGATTAAAGAAAAGCAAAAACCGTTAGTGGAACCAACGGAAATCTTACCAAAACCTAAACGAAATATTCCAAGTCAGAACCAATAATGTTGGAGATTCTTCTTTGTATTTTAGTAAGAAACTCTAAATAAATGACAGAATCACCAGGTTTGATGTGTTATCAATATAAGATGCAGGGAAGAATGGTAAATGTATAAATTTGAAGATAGATTCTGGCGAGAAAGTTTCTCTAGCAGGACACAGTGGACCAGCTTTCCTAGTAGCAGACCTAGAAATACTTCAATATAATCTTTCTACTTCATGTCAATGCAAAATGTTAGCAGTGATGTAATCAGTCACTCTTCTGTAGGTTAGCATCAGCCATGCTGAGGGAAGGCAGAAAATTTTTGTTCAAGGATTCAGCCCAGGGGTACAACTGCATTAAGA